ATCTTAGAACGTCTTACATCCTCAATGCTGCGTTTTTTTCATTGACTTTTATCACCTTTAAGATTGGGTTTCAAACTGGACTTTTAAAACACAATCTTAAAAAAAAAAAGAGAAAGTGAATAAATTCTTCTTCTTACACATAAAAATATCATCTTCCTGAGCAATAAAATCCACTGTAAACAACACAGTGCGAGTTTGACACACCTTACTTGGTAAGGTACGACCAGTAGCTTATGGGGGCTAATGCTAGCTAACCTTAGCTAACGTCTGTTCACTGACTTTTCTCTGCTCTTCTACATTGCTGTTACAATAGCTTAGCTTTAGCTTGCTAAAAAAAAAAAACAGCAGTTTAACTTAATTATTATACCATAGTCACTTGTAGTCACAGTCACTGCTGTTGAGCAAAAGTCACAACTGAGGCAACTGTTACTGTTTCTTAAAATCTATAACCACAAGAATCAATTAAGAGAGAACAGTAAATGATAAAACCTAGTTTAAAGTAGCACCAGTAGAAAGGTCAATCAGTATGGCCTTTTATACAGTAACATTTAACTTAAGCTTGCTAACAAGAGCTAGCATTAGCCACCAGACGCAACTTGTCATATGAGACTGTAGCTACAAACGCTTGTGGATCTTTCATGCACATTTCTCTGATAACTAACTCAGTTTCCAATGTAGTAAGCACACCTAGCTAAAGCTAATGCAGTCTAATATAACCGTGAAAGAAAAACTATCTTCATTGTTCAATTTTGTTTGAAAGAAATACTAGTATTCATACTAGTACTAGTGTGAATTAAAATTGATGTGGTGCTGTTTTAGGTAGGTATATTAAACTGGAAGCTAAGTGTAATTATATATGGTACATTAATAATAGATTAGTTCTTCTTCTTTACTGATGCAGTGTATGGCTCGAACAAAAATATACACTGCCACAAGACTTATGGATATAAAAAACATAATTTAAAGGGAACGTGATTGGCCCATTGACAGAGAGTAGCAAACCTCCCATGGTCTATTCACATGCAGATTTTCTTTACCTTATCTATGGTATCTGCTGCAATTGAACTGAATTGAAGCAATACAGCTGTGGAAACTCCCTTAAAATAAATAGGCTCCTGTATAGCAACTGACTCTGACTGACTAGCAGCTGCCTACAGCCTCCGGGCTCACTAAACCCCTCCAGGAAGTCCCCAGAGGTGTTTTATTTACCTCTATGTGTACTGCCACACACATATATACAACTGCATCACAACTTCCCTACTCTCTGGACTAATGGTACACAGAGAGACGGTGTTATCCATGTCCAAACACCTCATCTGGTTGCACCTGCTCAGATGGGATTCAGTCAAAATAAGTCATTTTGTAGAGAGCCACAGCAAACTCTGGTATTGGCATTGGCATGTGAGAGGCTGGAAATTATGAATAAAAACCAACAACCTCTGGCTCTCCCACTTTCCTCCCTCCCACCTTGTGTTGGATCTAAGTAAGAGGCCCTTTTCAGGAGTCAGGCGTAAATGCACACTTCAGGCAAGGAGAAGAAGAACCTGTCTTTTCAGGTGGGCTCACTTTCCTGCCAATATTTCCTTTGGCCATCACCAACTCCACCTTGCAATTGGCCCACTTGTGTTAAGTGGTCATCCTAATTGAGAAGAAAATTGTTAACACAAAGACCCTTCAGCTAAAGAGTATCAAAGATAGCTGAGATTAAAGTGAAAAGCTGCAAAATGTTAGTTCCAAATTGGACAGTGTGGTTCATTAACCTTACAGTGCGAGTGACTCTGGCTTTCCCACCTTACCACTTTTTCTCCCTCATATTCATCTTCTTTTTTCTTTCTAATCCCATGCTTTTCTTTCCTAGTCAACTTAATGTGGCTGTCAGTGCTGTGGTGGTCCCCAACAAACAGAGCGCTTGGCCCAAGTTCCTCCCCCGCTTTTCTCTCCTAAAGACGTCCACTACCTTTCCTCAAGAAAACCTGCTCGCAGCATTCTCCTCTTTCTGAAAATATTTTTCCACAGCCCCGTCCAAACCATGAGGGCCTTTCTTTGGACACACACACACACACACACACACACACACACACACACACAGAGCATGTTTGCCGCTCATTCACTCTTGCTGTGTAAGTTTCAGTTTTCTCACCACCTTAGGTGAAAAAGATTTCAATCAAAAAATAAAGTGAAACTCTCACCCAACAAAAAAGATTAAGAGTTAGGTTTCTCAGATTGTCAGATTTGACAATCTCCATTTATGCAACACCGCTCTATTTGCTTTTACTATGCTTTTGATGGACTGTGTAGAAGCCAGCGATATAACGAGCACAAGGCTACGCAATCCCTGGCCTGGTGGCAACACTGGGCTGACAGAAACCTAATATATAAATATAATTTGTGGAAATGTGGGATATCCTGATAAGAAATTATGATCTATATAAATTATATAAAGCTGAAAAAGTGGGAAAACAAACAATCAGAGGGGTGAAGAGATCAGCTGAAAAAAATATATATATATATTATTTTATTTATTTTTTTCATTTTATATCAGAAATTTGTTTTGATGTTTTGCAGAGACTCCCTGCTCACCTCCAAATAATTTTTAGTATCTAAAAAATTCAGCCTGTGTGTCATGCTAAATATAACACACCTGTAAATACACAAAGCTCCAATATCAAAGTGAAATCCAGTGTGCACAGATTGCTTGAGGCGATATCTTTCCTCAAACTGATTCCTGTGCAGGAGACAGGACGAGGCGGCGGTAGCGGAGGAGAGGAAGTAACCTCTCAACTACGCTCATCCTGATGCTGGAGGATGCATCTGCAATGCGAGGTCACGCCTGGTCGGCAGCAGGGATTTACAAGCCCTTCAAGAAGAACTCACCCCTGCCCCCAAAAACCCCACCTACCCTCCACCTCCATTCCCCCCTTTCCCAGGCCCCTCTGGGAGCTGGCGGACAGTTCTGGTCCCAGTGTAAATATATTCTTTCTCTATCAAAGACACATTTTCCAACCACTGTCAAAGGGGAGGAGGGTACTTTGGAGGGGAGAGGGCTACGAGAAGAGGGAGAGAGAGTGGGGGTGAAATTTTTCCCCTCTTCTTCCCCCTCTCTCGTCTGCTGCTGCCTGCCGGTTTCTAGCAACATCTGGCACTGTTTATCACCTGGCCTGCTGGTTCAGTCACGAAGGGAAAGACTGAAAGGGGAACACAGTGGCTACCCGAGGTCTGCTATAGCGGGGTTAAAAGATAATTCTCGTTTATTACAATTTGGGTTGTTATTTCTGTAGCTTTGGCCATCATTTTTATACAAAAACCAATTAAATGCAGAAATCTGGAAACATAGCAACATCTCTAAAAAGATCCCTGACGAGCCAAATAAGGAAAACTGCGGGAAAAAAAGAAATTTGGTAGTCAAAATTGTCAAATGTCAAAATTTAACCACAAATATGAGTAATAATGTTAGTATTTATACCTTTGTTTTTCTTTTCCAAATAAGTTTGGGTAACTTAAGATTTTATTTAAAACTTGTAGGATTGTCTGACAACGTGTTACAGCCATCGGCAACTGAAACTGGCGACAGGAATGATTATCGCGTCCCCTGTGTCCCCACTCATTAAAACATTGCTCCATAGCACTACTAGTGGTCAAAAACTCCACAGCGTTCAATGTAATTAATACTGTTAGGAATGATGTCCACAACTAATAAAAATAAGAACCATTTTTTTAAAACCAAAATCATCCTTTTAAACTCTGGGACAGAGCGAGGTCAGCGCATTCTTACCACACAACATTTAAAATACAAATCTGTGTAAAATGTATGCATAAACCTTTTGTTACTGCTTCCACAATTATCATACAAATTAACCTAATTGACTTGAAAGTGAGCTGATAGCGAGCCTTTTCCTGGAGCCTGGCATCAGAAAGTGACAGACAGAGAGAGAATATAGGTGAAAGACAAGGTTCATAGGACAATGAGGCCCATTGATACGATGGAGACAGGACCGGGTGCCTCCAGCGCGCTGAGAACGGCTGACGGTGCACAGAGGCACAATGATTACAGTCTGCATTACAAATGGCTAAAACAGAGCCATGGCCCTGCAGAGGCCACAACATCAGGAGAGACCTTGTCCAGATTTGTCTTTGAAACCAACCCCACTATAAGCTAATTTTGTTCTCTCTATGCCCTGTTTATTATACAGAATGTCCGAATGACCAGGAACACCTCTCAGAGATGGAGTTGTAGCTGCTTTTCATCCTTTTTTCCACAACAAAAATATTTTGAATACTTTTATACCTTCTCTGTTTCTCCTAACCTGCAATTCCTCCTTGTGGTTCAATAAAGGAAGTCTAATAGATTCAGCTTATCAGAGGATTTAAAAGATATTTTGTGCTTGTGGCACTCAAAGCAGCTGATACTGATACGAAATGCTATTTAATACTACTCGGACCATAGACAGCACAAGTGTGCCCTTGTACTTTGCACAGCAGGCACACTAAATAAAACTTCCAAGAGGACAAGCCTGCAAATCCCACAAGTAAATCATTTCTTTTCCTATCACTCTTTTCCATTTAGACCCAAAGGAATTCCATTGAGTTTTAGAGATGAGTTCTGTTATACCACAATCATTTTTCACGCTCTGCAGCTCTTGCAGTGGATCTCTCTTATTCATGTCTCTGGCATCCAAGCTGTAGCTCTAAAAGACATCTAAACAAGTTCTTGACGCCATCTATGGGGTTCATGCAAAACTGCACCTAAATCCTTAATCCTGATTGTGTTTCAGCATAAAGAGGATGGATTCATAAGTAAGCAGTATTTTTCTGATGTGATTTACCCTCTTAAGAGGAATATATGTTAGTTTTGTGTTTTTTAACAATTCATGGCCTGCCTTTATTGTTTCCATTGCTACTTAGAATGTGAAATTTACCAATTTAAGACCTATGGTCAAGTAAAGTGGATGTCCTGTGTCTTAAGGACTGGGTAATGAACACAACAGGGAGATGCGCTGTACCTGTCTGTATGTGGAGATGATGATCTCTCTCAGATGATAGTGCATGGGGGTCATGGTCTCGCTGACAGAGTCCAAGGCCATGTCCACCTCCCTCTTCATCCTGTGGCCATCGGGGATCAGACGCACCAGCTGCATCACAACCTGCACACCAGAAAGCACACTCGTTAAGAAGTATGTTTCCTGTGAAAAGTTTCAGGAATGTTTCAAAAGTTGTGAGAAGACTCCAAAAATTTAACGAACAATGCAAACTCTGGTACATCTGCCGCTCAAATAACACAGCTTTATTTAATGAATGAGACGAATGCTGCACCTACAGTAGGAGTAGGTTCAGGGTGAAATTTTTTCTCAAAAAAGGTCGATTTAGTAGCCCTTTTGGAGCTTTCAGTCTTATCACACAATCTTCTTCAGCAGCTGGAGGTTGCCCAGTTGTCATGGTACTGTAAATCTTCAAATTTTTATTTTTCTAAGCTTTATTACATTAATTAAACCACAGCACACTGAAATGGCTTCACTGTGACTTTATTAGGAGCAAACAATGCATTTCCCAGGTACCTTCCTCAGTTTCGTTCAGGATGTGATAAATACATCGAGTCACATGCCTAATTATCACGTTTCTATTTCATTTTAAACGGGTGAACATTTATCAAAAAACATGGCTATAATATTACACAAAAGTGCAAAGAGTCAGAAGAATTACACCCTTCTACATCACATTAACTTAATTAGAAAACTAACTCCAGTATACAACTGACTGAAAAGAAAAGGCTAAAACCCTTTAGCTAGATACACTGTACTATTTATCTGTTTATCACAACATTGATTACTGATGTAATTTGCTAGGACAACCTGAAGAAGCTACAGGCAAAGCGTTGTTTGCGCCTAATACATTCACAGTTAAGTCATTTCAGTGTGAGGTGGTTCATTTTGATCTACATTGAAAATGCTGACTGACTTCCAATTTTCCAATTAGCAAATACTGGCTGTGGCATCATCACGCCCTTCCAAAATGTTCCATTAAAATGAAAAATAAATTATACCAATACTATGAGAAGTGATTTGAACAACCAGGCAAACTCTCCATCTTGTGAGGAATGTTGAAAATGGTTCCTTGTGCAACACTCAACAGAGTTGAAAAGACGACTACTGCCTATCAGACCCGATCCAACGATAACAACAGCACTGTGAGGCAGTCAGCTGCAAGCTAGTTTACTAAACCTTGGATTTATTGTGGGTTAATAAGCAGTTTATTTGAGAGCTCTTGGGGTTATTTAAAGGTTCAGTGTGTAAGTTTTAGTGGCATCTAGTGGTGAGGGTTGCAAATTGCAATCAGCGGCTCATGGTGCATTCACATGCTCCTCGGACGGTCCCATTTCCAGAGTAGTGAAGTCGTCCATGGTGCATGTAGATAGAAATGGCTCATTCGAAAGTAATAAAAACATTACGGTTAATTACACTGAACACTTTTGTTTTTGCCCCCATTCATCATGAGCTGAACTCAAACTTCCGACATCTGTGGCATTTTTCTGTATGATGGAACTGCACATTTTCGAGTGGCCTTTTATTGTGGCCAGCCTAAGGCACACCTGTGTAATACCCATGATGTCTGATCAGCATCTTAATTTGCCACACCTGTGAGGTGGATAGATTTATCTCAGCAAAGGAGAAGTGCTCACTAACACAGATTTTGACAGATTTATGAACAATATTTGAGAGAAATAGGCCTGTTGTGTTCATAGAGAAAGTCTTAGATCTTTGAGTTCAGATCATGATAAATGAGCATTTCTGTCAATAGATCCTCCTATATATTACACACAGAACCTTTAAAGTTATTTATGAGTTATGCTCAAGTTGATCAACTCCTTTTCTGCCGCTTGAAGGCAACAGAAACAAGTTGTGAACACAACATTGACATATAATCACCTTTTAAGTTGATATGGTGAACTTGTTTGGAAACAGTTACTTATTTGCACATCCAGCAGTTATGGAACAACATCATCATTAATTCGGAGTCAAGTTTCTGATTAATGTCCGAGAAAGTCCAATATTTACAATCTTTTAGCCCTGTTTTTGGTCAACTAACTCTTGAGTGAATTATCTTGCTCTTTGGCTGTTAAATGCTGTTCACCAGCTGGTTGCTAACTGTGTGTGTCTGCTGTTTAGTGCTGAGCAGGTAGTGTTAGGTAGCTTTTTCACTGATAACAGATGCCTGAAAACAATCATGTGAGAGAGAACACAGTACAGTTGCAGGCCCGACAGCTAAACAATGAGCTGAAAGTCACTATAAAGCTCCGTAAAGCTGAGGGGAGATAATTCTCTGTAGGGTCATCACTACAAGCAACCCCTTTGTCACATTGCCATTTAATACATTGTTATTAAAAGAAGATTTATTATAGCCACTTATAGGAAACCACTAGGGCATATTTTTTAAGATGCTTCATTCACCTGGGCACTGATTATCAAAGGATTACAAATGACACATTATTTCACACAAGGAGAGGATCTAACACTGCATCAGTCCCTCCATCATGTAATGCTTTGGACCTCACAGACATTTTGGCAGATAAGGCAACGGGGATGGCAACATCACACATCCTTCAGAGGCCGAATTGGAGGCGGACAAGGTTTCCGTGGCGACAGCTCTGTGTATCCCAGAAACTCCGGTGGCCGCGCAGCTGTGACTGGCATGCAGTATTGTGTGTCTGCAGAGTGCGGCCTCTTTCTGTGTGTCCATGTCTACAGTGCCACGGTCAGCAGGTTCCAACCACTGATTCATTCTCACAAACTCTGAATTAAAGAAAACTAGCCCAGCAGCTCTAACTCACTGCCACTATTCAGAGCAGAGGAGAAAGGCTTTAGCTTCTGGCTTTGTTTGGGCAAAGTTTTCAAATCGAATCATGATGAAGACTAGAATTCACTCCAGTTACTACCCGCACACTGTTTATCTTCTAAAATATGCTGAAAAGGAGCAACCGCAGATCATGTCTCAGCTGTGCTGATGCTGTGATGGGAAATGACCATGATGTTGATCAGTGTGCTGCAAATTATCAGTGCTTCTGCTAAAATGTCATACTATCATTAATATCAGTGAGCTACTCGCTCGCACACTATGTGAGCATGATAAAACACAAAGGACATCTACATGAAAGGTACTCATGTAGTGAAGAAATAGGGCATTGCGTAATGTGTGTGTGTGTAGAGACTATTTGGTTGAGAGGATGAGAGCAAGCGGTAATAAGTGACAGTTGTATTAAGTTGCTTTGTTGCTTGTTGTATTAAGTTTGTTTTGTTTTGTTTCTATTAAGAAGGGGTTAGCGCTAGCCAATATCTCCCCTGTGCTTCAGACTACAATCTGGAAGCTGAGCAGAAAAGCCTGGTGTAGAGGAGACCGGGGATGGCTGCAATGCTTATTGCATTTCTCTCAGTTACTCAGAGACTATTTATATATACCAACCAAATTACCTACACAGTTTAAAGATGACTGTATATGACATTTGTTCACAATATTTAATTGAATGTAAGGACTCAGATGTTGTGACTTACCCCCAACCATGGGGACATGATCAGGGACAGTTGTAGCTATTAAAAATACATAAAATTTCACTCATTAAATTTTTCTTGAGAGAGTACCCACAAACCCCACACCAAATATATGCTGCTAGAGAAAACGCTGCTGCTGAAATTCTAGGGGAAACACTTTAATTGTTAAGTTTATAAAATGTCAGAAATTTTTGAAAAATGTTCTGTGTAATCTGT